CCTTCCACTAGAGCAGGTTGCTCCAAGCTCCTGTGTCCAGGCTGAACAGCCCCAATGTTCTCAGCCTGGCTCCAGAACAGAGCTGCTCCAGCCCCCTTATCATTCCCATGAACTCCCTACACTGAGGTTTTCCTTCCTCGGGAGGGATGCCACCTTTAGATCACAGCCTCCATCCCACACTCTGGGGGTAACTTAGGGTACATGGGAAGAGAACATCTTCCCTGACTGCTTTGCCCATGGGTTGTGCAGGTGGCCCTGGCATCAAGAATTGTATCACTGATGTGCTGCCAATTTTGGCCAAGATGTTGGAGAACATGAAAGCAGAACCCCTGCACCTCTGCCACCGGCTGGACAAGGAGACCACGGGCGTGATGGTGCTGGCACGGAGCAGGGAGGCAGCAGACAGGATCCGACTTCTCTTCAAGACTCGTCAGGTGGAGAAGATCTACTGGTAGGAAAGGTGTGGGGTGTTGTAGAAGTGGTGGCTTATCTTCTCTTACCCGCCTTTTTATGGCACTGGGATGAGGGGAGGGATCCCTTCATGCTGGAGCAGCACCCACAGAGCTCTGCTTTCCATCCCCAGGGCAATCAGCCTGGGGGAGCCAGACCCCAGTGAGGGCATCGTGGACATCCCCATCGTGGAGAAGGAGGTGGAGAGCCACCAGTCGCACTACAAGGTGAGCCACATGTCTTCTCAGCCTCGCACTCCCCTTCCCCAGCTCCCTCCCTATGGGCTGATCCCGTTGTCACCGCTCAGAGGACGCTGGCCCCCAGCTACCGCCTGTCTCCGGAGGACGGGAAGGAGGTGAGAATCCGGAAGAAGCGGAATGCTGAGAGCGCCGTGACGCGGTACCGGCTCCAGCTCGCTGCTGGAGCTCCAGCCCATCACCGGTGAGGCCCTGGCATCGTGTGAGCTGCTTTCTCAGTGGCTGTGCAGCCAAGAGCACTGCTGGAAGTGGGAACTCGTTGTTAGACGCAATGGGAATCCTGTCTGGGATAAGGATCTGGGATAATTGCATGAGCAGCAGGTCAGGGAGGGGATCCTG